AAGAATGACCTATCCTCACAGCTTTAAAACAAAAAAAGAAAAATAAACTAAAAAATCCCTTGCTGTCTTCTTGAATATGAAAGATGTTTTAATGGAAATTATTCAAAACACTTTCAGTCATTACTTTGGAAATTCATTTTAAGTATTGTCCTCAAAAACATTGATCTCAAATCCAGTCTTTTTAGCTTCAAATATTCCAAGCCCTATATATACTTTATACATTGAAATCACTTCATTTACTAATTAAAAGCATCTAGAACTCAGTGTAAAAAAAAATTAAAAACTGATATCACATCAGCATTATATACAACTTCTGTAGGCAAGAGGTAAAGCCTTCCTTAAATTCTTGAGAAAAACAACAAATGCTGGGAAGAATTTGGACAATATGCCAGCATAGGTAACATACTGACTTACCAGCAACATTAACAGGTAATATCTCAGATTCCATAACCACCCGTGACTCTGAAGACTTAAACCTACTGCTCTGGTTTACAATAACCAATTAAGTTTCTTCATTTTTGCCTGCTGATTTTACAAACAGATTATACAGCTACAATACATAACTGTGACTGCTTGACACCAAACACTATGCTGGGCCCACAGACCCTGACTGGGATACACTGAAAACTCTAAAATCAGCAAAGGTCTCCTGAAAAGGCATTTTCATTAACAAAGCACTGTGAAATCTTCCCTTCTAGTGCCAAAAAGTCAATACATCTGACACTATATTTTGAGAACACAAATATTTGCCATGAGTTGTTGTTAATGAGTGACAGATCAAACTTACACTCGAACTCCACTACATAATCATCACTTGCCTCTTCCCAAGAAGAGATAAATCAGAGATTACTTTCTTTTTTTCCCCTCCTCCCTGCTCACAAAAAGGGTACAACATCATAAAAACCATTTGCTTCTTCAAAGCTCAAGCAATCCAGCAACAAAAGAGGATGGGGATGGTACAAAGTTATGCTGCTTAACTGCAGAAGTTAACTGTTAGAAAAAATTAAAGCAAAAAAGCAACTTAAAAAGACAACCAGAAGGCAGAGACGAGATGATGGTTCCCTACCTTCATACTCAATGCCAGAAATAAGTTCTGAAACAACATCAATATATTTTAAAGCTATTTAAAAGACTTTAAAAATAAAGTAAACAAATTAAAAATTGTTTCTTTGCATAGCACGCTTCCCATTGCATAAAACTCGAGGTATTTCTTCCCCTTCCCTGAGCTTTGCCTTAGTTACAGAGTTCCCCTTGCTAAGCTTCCAACAACACTGCAAAACAGAATTGGCCAGATACCTGGGCTTGATCAAAATGTTTGGCAGAGGACTGATAGCGGGAATCAAAAGACAAAAGCAAGCTTTCCATTTCCATGATCCTTGGCCCAATCAGAGGTTGAATCACTCTCTGAATTTAATTTACAGCAAACTGAGAAGTGATGCAAGTTGTACTGCCTGGCTTAGTTCTCCAAAGCAGTTCCCCTGACTATGGATCACCACAGCACTGAATTTCACCCACCTTGCCCCTCTCTCACCCAAAAGTTCTCTGTGTTATGGACAGGCTGAGAAGAGATGGCACAAAACCAGCAATGTTAGCCTTGTGGCACATCACATTGCTTCAGGATTTCCAACCTTAGCTATTCTGCAAGGGCAGCTTTTTATCACCATGCGCCAACTAAGTACCACCAAGGTAAGAATCAAAATTTATCTTTAGAATAATTTTAATGGGAACTATACTGCATGCCATGGAAACTACTGCTATAATGCAAGTTTGTGAGCAGAAAGAGAACAGAAGGGGAAAAAAACCACAAGATTGAAAAATAAGTATGTTAGCTTAGATGAACACCTCTTTCCTCCTCTTATGCAAGAATGTTACAGATAGTACACAAACCGAGTTGAGGTTGTAGGAAGGATCAAGGTGGCATGCAATACTTAGCATTGCAATGCTGGGTATGTGCTCCAAACAAATGTGAAACCACAGAAAACAATATTGAAGGCACTTAAAAATTAAGTCACTGAAAGCCCAAGTCAATAAAAAATTTTGGTCTTCAAGGGCTGTAACAGATGGCAACATCTTTAAAGCCAGAAAATGTTCCCTTTTCTGACAACTCTGTTCTTTAAAACACCACTAAGCTAGAAACTATGCATCTAGGTAGCTCTACACACACTTAATACTACAGTTTTAGAAGTTAGTTTATAATATCCAGCTCTGAACTGCAAAATTATATCACGTGTACTATGGTAGAAAATAAATAGCTAATTATGCAAAAATGGGCCTCTATTAACAATTTTTTAAATTTTCCTTAACCTAGTTCTTCTCCATGTTTTTATTAAAAACCAAAAAGACAAAAGCTTAGTTTGTTGAAGACTGTATAAAGTTTCTATGATGCTTCTATGGTAAATATGAATTATGAATACATGCTATTAAAGAAGAAAGTGACTTCACAGATTAAAATATTAATTATCCCACCTCTTTTTGTACACTCTCCAATTAGCAAGCCACTCCTCCTGGCAACAGACAGTACAATTTGAATGCCACTGAAATCTATGCTTTTAATAGGCTGATAGACCATTACCATTCTGGATACTGGTTTGAAGCTATCCAGCTCCTGCCTGGAAAATTGCAAATTACAGCTAAATTAATAGTAACAAGGCAAAATCAGCTGTGTACCTGAAATTCAATGTTTATAAAGCTACTGGATCTGCAGAAACAGAGGATCAGAAGCCTCTAACATGAAGATGCTTTGAGGATAAAAACAAAGTGAAGATTAATTTCTTCTCCCTCTTCACAGAGTTCTAGCATATATGCCTTCTCTATTCCAGACCTCAGCATAACTTTGCATAATATAATTGTAGAAATACAAATAATTTTTTTTTTTTGTTCTCTTAATAGGTGTTCAGAATTCCTTATTTGTTCTGTATTATTAAATCAGATAAAAGCAGAAATACTGATGCTCCACCCTTTGACCATGAAAGGAAGAAAGAGTAGTTCACTTACCTGGGACTGCTCTAAGTCATCAGAACCATAAGGTTTTAATTCTGTTTAAGCAAATTACTATTAAAGTACATTTATGGCAGATAAAAGATGCCTTAATCACCTAAAATATATTGCAAACCTGTGCTATATTTTTACTTGGTTGTACCAACGTATTGCAGTCAAAATGAAGAGCTCTACTGTACAAGGTAAAATGGTACTTCCTGAAAAGTTTACAATTCAAATATACAAGATGGAGACAGCATGAGATAAAGAAAGAAAATCCCTACTTGATAATGTGAAAATGAAGCACCACTCTAAGATCATTTAGGGGAAAGAAATTCATTTAACTAAAAACTGAAAATAGATTTCTTGAACAACAGAAGAGCTATACTTTCTTTGTGACAGCTGTTCTGTTACATTTCAGATTATTAGCCACACTAGGAGACAATAGTTCCTGGAAAACTGACATAAAAACAGGATATGTGAAAATACTCTAAATTAGGCAGAATCATACCAAGGCAGCAATTCTCTGAACATAGAACTCAAAGCAAAGATTCAAAGCATATATTAGCTGTTGGCCCTTCTGCCAATATTCTATGTGTTACTGCTCCAGGTCTACTTACTGTTTAGGATTCAAATGAACAGGTAAGTTAAGTGAAGCTCAGGAAAGAGTAATTTATCCCAGGATACATCTGGACCTTCTTTAACAAAAGCATAAGCAAGCAAGGATCGCCTTCTGTAAGAGCCTGAGCATCCAAAAAGGTTTGGCTGTATCCTGTAGCTATAAGATTAAGCCTTGTAATGTATTTTTTATATTCACTGTAAAAGAGTTTCAGCATGCATGACACACCGCACCCCATTTGAGCAGCACATGTGTTCTATGCTGAAGTATTCTAGGTACAATTCAAAGAATTGGAACAAAAAAAAAACACAGCTCTGAAAGAATTGAGTGCTGCTACAATTTTATGTTAATCATTTTCACAAGTCACTCATGTTCTCTGTTCCTTTGATTCACTGAAATTACCTTAAAATGAAAACCAAGGCATACTACAAGGTGTTCTTTTCTCCAATGGTCAAATATTCAACCTAACAGATACAGAAAGTTAGTCAGCATCACATGACATGACTAATTTTTCCTCTTAAGTTACTGCTGGTGATTGCACTGCCCCAAAAAGCAAGGAGTGTAGAACATCATTTTATACGAAGTTGCTGTTAATTGTCATATCACTTTAAAATACCATTTGTTAACTAATGGTAACTGAAAAACTTATTTTTTCATAGCTTCTTAAAGTATAATCAACAACGAGCATCTTTCTCCTATATCTATGGATATATATCTATATCTCTATCTAAATATTATGTCTAGAATCAACTCCAAGAGCTCTTGCCAAGCTCTTTTGTTTTGCCATCTAATAGATACACTTGGACATATCTAAAGGCATAATCATTTGACCACATGAAAAAGTCCACAATAAAAAGCTTCTGTATAATCATAGTCATGCTGGAAGGTATGAAACAATGTCAATACTCATGTTGCTCTGTTTAGAGTTCATCTCCAGAGCCCTTTCAAGCCTACACGTTACTTTCTTGCAGGATTATAAGATCACATATTAGGCAGCAGCTGATAATATATAGAGTGATAGCAAACTTTTGCTTAATACAAATGCCAAAATGAATAAAGAAAAAAAGTGATGGGCAGGTTGGTGGAAAAAGCTGTAAGGCAAGTAGACTTTAAATTAAAAAAAGGCATATCAGAGAATGTTCATGAGCCGAAAGCCTCGAGACCACTTTTACACATTCTGCACTATTTTGATGACCCTGCTAAAAAAAACACTGAACTGTTCTCACTCAGAGCTGGTTGAAGACACATTCTTTTTAAAATGTCACAGCAAAATGTGAAATCTGAGTGGATCTGCTTATTCCTCTGGTTACTTTACTCACTTACTTGTCACCACTCAGAGTTACTGAACTGTAAGTAGATAAGACAAAACAATCACAAGTCACAAAGTAAAAAATTTCAACAATACCTTTAACTTCTTCATAAATGCTATCACCACCTATCGATTCACTGCTCACTTGTCCAACATCGTCGTATTCCTCTTCCTCCTCCTCCTCTGGAATATTATTAGATTCCATATCTACGTAACAGCAGGTTAAAAAAATTAACATTTACTAGAAAAGAATGCTTAAGCAGAAATTTATCGAAAATGAAAACACAGTTCTTCTATGACCTGGTGCTTACAGTATGTTCTGCTTATTTTCTTAGAAGGTCCAAAAGGGAGACCTCTCAAGCTACATAGCATTCTTAGAGAAAAGCAAATATCTTGCAAAAGGAGAAAAGTCATATAAAAGCTACAACATATTTGAAAACTAGGATTCATGATTCAAAGCTTGGACAAGTGGGAGTACTACATATAGAAATGTGAGAGAGAGGTTAACAGACAGAACTACCATCACTAAGCAGTATTGGCAACAAAGGCTAGTGCTCCACTGGCTGACTTACCTTGAATTACAAATTTGACTTGCTGTACCCATTCCTCTGCTTCTTTGGGAGTGGCAGCTGTAAACTATTAAACATATATTAGTAACTACAACCAGTAATGACAAAAACACAACTACATTTTCATCAGCAATAAAAAAAGAGGAACTAGCATTCTTGTTACTTCCTCAAGAAACCATTAGTAATTCTTTTCATGTCTTCTGGTACTTTTCTTGCAAGGATGCTTCTTATAATGTACAGCTAATTTTGACAAATTTACGTAATTGAAGGAGAGGATGATGGATTTGAAACTCTGATCAGCAGCTGGCAGCTGTGCAGAAAAAAAGCTGCTTCTCTTCATCAATGTCAAAGCCAGAACTGATGAACAAAATTTGCCCTTGACAATTAGAAGACACCCATGAATTTCTTTAGACTGCTGGGTACAGTTTTCTTAAAAATGTTCTTGTCAGACTCCAACACACTACCTGACAGCTTAATTAACTGGCTTTCAACTGCAATCTCAGATATTTAAAACTTATTAAACTTACATTCCATATTGATGTCTAGCTGATAGATCTCTGAATGGCACAGCTGATATGTGTCTTTACGTAGATTTTACTTGCAAAGCCATGACCAATACAATATGTATTTAACAGTGATACACTTTAACTTTTTTTTACTATTTAAGTCATGCAAGAAATCACACAGATGTACTATAAAATAGATATTAAAATGCTAACACTGAAGTGACCAATAGATAAAGATGATAGATTTCTTTGCTCTTGTCCAAAAAAAGATAATATTTGAGCACATACATACATATTTTAAATCAAATTTTTTTCCTAATATATGAAGATACAATATAAACCAGCATGGGTTTCCTATTTCCATTGACATGCCAGTGAGAGGTGTTTTACTGAAATGTTAATTCAGTAACTGGAATTGTAACAGCTTTATCAATTTAATTTCAAGTCAACATAAAAAAGTCTAACCTGATAAATGCGCTTATCAGGAGCAAAGATTTCAAAACAGCAATCTTTCTTTGCATCTCTCCGAAGGCTATTATTCATTCTGATGGCGTAGCCCTCTAAGGCAAATTCACCTTTCTGTTGTTTGTCTGTTGAAGATAAAAACCAAAGTTAGAGCTTCATTTACAACAGTGAACGTAAGTGGCCCAGCAGGTTATCGTTTATTCAGATTTTGTTTTCTATTTCATGAATTTTACAAAGAACAGGGAGGTTTTGAGCAAAATGATTAAGTGATGCTTCTGGAGATAAAACTTTATTTTAAAGGAAGATGTACACAAAAGTACATTTTTCTGTAGGATGCCGAAGGAATTCCACAGGGGGAATGCTTGCAGATGGTGGTCTTATTTAGTCAGAACTGCATGTTATGACACTTACATTGAGGGAAAGTCAAGGACTGGAACTTGCAAGACATGTTTCCTATAAATCAGTGTCTCTTTCAGGTTCAGTAAACGAATAGGAAAACCTGTCTAGCCCAGAACTTGCTGAGCTCCCTCCTAAACTAACCACTTCACTCAAAAAAATAAACTTCAAACTCCTTTTTAAGCAATTGCAAAAGCTTCTTTTCACATTCTGCCACCCATTCCCAGATGTTCCTCCCTTCCACATGGCAGAAAAACAGAATGAATTTTGTTATAAATTCAGGTGTGTGTTCCAAAAGCATTTCTCTCCACGCAGCAAATGTTTAATTAGCTAATAAAAGTACTGAGCCCTACCACAGTTTATGTAGAGCCATGTGGCTGTTTTACAGACAATTCTACTTTTCAAAGGTTCTGGTTTATGAAAGTATCACTTAGAACAGACCTGAGTTTAAGTATATTGCATGTTGGGCAAGCAGCACCTGTGCACTCTTTCTAAGCTGTTTCAACCAAACCCTACATCTGAGTTTATGTGCTCTGGTATTTTTGGGTGAGTATTAAAAACAAACCAGAAAAGTAAAGGTAATTCAGTTTCGCAATTTCTATAGATCACAGTGCAGCATTCAAGTGAAGACAGGCATCATCAGTCACATTTTGCTCAGGTAAAGAACAAAGTGCAGTTGCAAATGAAAGAAAATTCCATTTGGGGGAGGGCAGGGGCATCACAGAAGAGATAAATATTCACTACCAACAAGCATCAGGCACAACCACAATACTACTGTAAGTATTGCTGAATAGAACTTAGGTACAAATCAAGCATCCATAGCTTATGTTTGTCAACAAATAGATAAAACTCCTACAGTAGATAAAACAGGAAAAACTACAGTTTTCAACATAATTTTGTCATCTTTCTGGAAATTTAATAGGAGAGACAATCTTTTTTCCCCTCCTGAGAGGACAAAAATTGGCTAACACAGCAACATAAAGGGCAGTCACCATACAAATACTCTTGTTAGTAATCTTACGTGCACATACACACAAATTCTTTGTCCTTCCACCTTTTTATGAACTCTCACTCAGAGTAATTAAATATCAAACAACACAATTACATGAAAAAATCCTGGGCACTGTTCTGTTTTCTCTTCTAGTCCCTTCCCCCACAGTAAGTTTTATTATGTCTTAATTAAGTACTAATGATACAGTACTAATATTTCATATTTGCTCAATCCTTCACCCCTATATCAGGCAGAAAACAGATTCAAAATTCACGGGATTGCACCAAAACAATTTTATTTTATTAAAAATAACTAGGTCCTCTTTTAATAAAATTCATTTCTGCCTAGAAATTTTTATTGTTCCCTCACTTGTGACTTTAGGGACAAGATGAAGTGAAATACATTAATTTCTCAATCTCACATGCTGGAGGTTTACCAAAACCCAAGAAGATAGGAGCACACAGACAGAATAAACAAATGGGGCAAGTATTCAAATTTAGTCTTCCTGGATTATTTCCTGAGACTGCTTCTCTGTGACATGGATGATCTCTTTTATGGTAATACAGTTTTACAGAGCTAATCTCAGAGGATCGCTGTACTGGCACTCATTCTTTCAAAGAGCATTACAGTTAAAACACAAAGATGCAGTACTTTGCACTGGAAAGGGAACACAGTGCATGGTATCTATATTGCATTTGATTGGTTTATTGTTTATACTGTCTTAGTCTTATCTCTACGAACACAGCATTCCAGTGCTGATGAAAATTACCTGTATGCACTACCAAAAAAAATACATACCATTTGCTATTAAACTCTTTCACTGACCTTTATAGCAACAGATTAGTCACAGACTAGGCATAGGATTGCTACTTTTGCTTCTAATTGTTTGTGCAATAAAGTATCTCTGATTAAAGTCCAGTGCAGCATTACCTATATGCTTAAAATATTGACCATGAGGAAAATTTAAGACAATGAGACACTTCACAGCCATGACCCAGAACCTATTAAAGTTGAGAGAAAGACTCTCAGTGTGCATCCACACTCCCTGTGACAGCAAGCCATATAAGACCTACTGCGTCCTGAGAAATGGCTCCACAAATACAGAACGGCAGGACACAGGTCAGCTACAGCTCAGCTGCATGTTCTGATGGTGACAAGCAGTGGAGGTCTACAAATCTCAGGTGCTCTTGCAGAACACACCTTTCCAGGAGACCAGCCCCATCTCCTGATCAGAGTGGAGCAAACCTTGACCCATGGTAACTGTTCGACCAGGTACAGTGGTCAGGTGCAGGCTTGAAGGCAGGGCCATCTTGTGATCATCAGACTCAAAGATCATCTCCACTTCCTTTACCAGCAAAGGTTTGCAGCTAAAGAGGAATGCAGGAAGATTTGGACTTTCAGTTTAAAGCTGCCTGTGAAATTGGTGCCACAGTGATTTCTGTAAACTTTCACATTCAGAGTTATGTTGTTTATATGAGAAATATTTTCTGGAGACTGTGCTTTAGGGAGAGTTAAGCAGTTTTTGATGTTTAAAAACTTTGAAGACTTAAAATTAGATAGAGTTTTTATTTATGATGGGAGCCTTAAAAGTAGATTCAAGAAACACATTTACAGTACAGAGATTTCACTTTCATTTTGAACCCCCAAATCAGAACCAGAGTTTTGCTTAGGCAGGAACACAACAGCACATTTAGGAGGAACTAGGGAGAGACGTGGATGAAACACACTTCCCTGAGGAACGATAACATTCTTGCTGTCTCTTATTTTCCCAAGATAGGGTTTTGCAATTCAACAACAGAAAATCCTTAAGTTGTCTCAGAACAACACAGAATCGAATTGCAAAAGTATAATGCTATCAGTCTTGTAAAAACAAAAAGGATCACAAACGTCATCATGTATATGTTGTTCCACAATTAACTCAAACCTCATTTCAGAATAAGCTGTTCTTCACTCTAATCTCCTCCTCATCTTTCTCCCTTCTCCCCACAACAGGAACATAACAGAAAAATAAAGATGATTCTGTGTAGACCATTTTGCATCAGGAATTTAGAATTGTAAAATGCAAGTATAACAGAGTGGAGAGTCAAGTACTAAGTATTAAAAAAAAATAGTCAAAGCTGGTACATACATATTTCAGAGAAATATCTATGGGGAGCTATATTTAAAATAGAGAAAATACAGATCTGAATGAAATTTGAGAGCAATTTTACACATTTTTCTTACATGTAAACTTCATTCATCCTAAAAATAGTGAAATGTTAACAACAGAAACACGGCCAATATTGGTGAAAAAAGTCTAAAGGGAATCAGAGAAAAAGTGTTTTGAAATAACCTTGCATAACTGAGTCCATGGGAACTTTTAAAACAAAGAAGGGTAGACCTTCAATGGGGTCTTGAAATGATTGGGTTGTAAATTCGAGGCCTAAGGCGATGTGCCTTACATATTAGCATATGTAAAAAGAATTAGTGCATTCTGAAGAACAGAGAGGACTCCGACAGTAGAAAGAAAAGAAGTTACAGAGGAAGGCATAACGAACAAAGGCAAACAGGAAGATTTTAGAGTGATAAAGTATTTCTAGATACAATTTGAATCTACAGTTTAACTCTCTTTATCTTGAAATTAGGAGCCTGTAAGATCTTAAGGGTTACATGGCTGCATGCTCAATGTACTATCATATTTTTCTATATGCAGGCTGTCTGCTTTTTAAAAATAGTGTATCTCCAAAATGGTAATTCCTTTTCCATCTTTTGGAACAGTCCTTTCCATAGGCATGCATAGGAGTTCTGCCCTTTTAGAGAGAAGATTTGAAATGCAATCGACCTTTTTTTTTTTCCCCTTTAATCTAGTTCTCTGAGAAACTGCACAAATAGAAGTAGTCCATCCATTGGCTTGGCCATCACTGTCCTATTATTCAAGGAAATTAAAAATGTTCATGTCCATGTTTAACATGGACAAGATATATATAAAAAAAACAACTCACTTTTCTAAAAGCCTCTGAATTATTCCACTCTTCAACATCCAACACTGGAAAGCAGGCAGATACCATTTTCAAGTTATAAAAATGAAAATAAATTTTTATTGCCCATTAACAGGGGAAAAAATTACCATGATGTTATCAATTACTGTCTTGCTAAACATTTAGCTAATCTCTTCAATTTGCTGAGACAGAAGGGCATATAACATTGTGGCCTAGTGAGGAAGCAGTAATGAAGCCATTAATTCATTCATTTATAAAGCAACAAATTAACTTTCCTTCTTCACATGCACTTTGAGGTCTGAAAGGTCAGCCATACCACCTAGGTGCCTGAGTACAGAGGAACTGACAGAAATTATGTAGAAAAACAACATGCAGAAAGGGTACTCAACACAGGATGCAGCTTCATGGAAGCGAAGAAGAGAGAAGGACTATAAAAGGTTTATGGAAGAAAAGATTATGAAAAGAAGGACCAGGCAAACTTCTGGAAATCCAAGCCAGCTCTGACATTTGAACACACTTCTCTGCAACGCTGTGGGCCACATGCTGGCAACAGACACTGCAGCACAAGCACAAATATATGTGTGCTTCCTGTAGTACCTATTTCTAACATTTAATAAGGTTAAACCTTTAAGCTGTGTTCCCTCCGTTTACTCCACATATAATTGATCAGGGAAGAAAAATGTAGGTGATGCCCTTAGAGCTGTCTATATTGCAGGACTAAATAACATTGCTTCACTATCCAATGATGCACCAAATGTATGAGAAAATAGAGGAGGCAACAGGGAAACAAGACTTTCGTTAGCCTGCAGGCATCACAACCCTTGGAAGGATGCTTGTAACCTCTTAGGTGAACACACACATGCACAAATACACACTCATTTACTGTATTTTCACAGGCTTTAGCTTGTACTATATTCTTCTGGACTAGGCCTCATATTTTTCATCATTTGGCTCTGAATAAATGATTCTGAAACTCTTGCTTACATCTGCTTGTGAGATTTATACACTTCCATACTTAACTGCTTTCCCAGTGTAAAAGGGGGAAAGTTAGAAGAATCTAAAGTATTTTGGAAACAGTATATCTACACCATCTAATAAAAAGGCATCCTATAACCTCACATTTAGCATTCAGTTACACTTACACTGATACTTAAGCATGAAAATCAAACTCTGCCCAACAAAATACACACTGCACCAGACACAAAATATCCACCACAGATTGTTCACCTAAGTGCCTGGCTTTAAAAACATAATGCAAAATAAGCCAAGGAGGACCCAGAAATCCCTGCTGCCTCTGTGTTCCATTACACACAGACACTAGCACTCCATTACCCATTAGAAGTGACACAGACAGCAGAACTAAGCACATATGGAATCCCTGTCTCTCTTCAAACTGGGTTCACACCACTGAGGAGGAATTTTCTTATGTGAATCAGCTCTAGACTTGTCAGAAACCAGGACCCAGCTGATACAAAACATCTGCAGACACTGCACAGTCTAGGGCAGCCCAGCATCACTTAGATGCCACCTCAGTGATTCAGGAGGTGGCAGCAATTTGTATGAAGCCACCCAAATTCACACTTCACTGCTATTCTACAGTTGGTAAGAACACACACTGATTTTCTACACGGTCCAAGTTACCTAGTACAGCATCAAGGGTCACAGCAAAAGAAGAGCCCCAATAGGACAGCACACTAGGGCAGGGACCACTGTTGGCCATAATAGTGGGAGTGAAAAAAACTTTCATTTTTTTCCAGTGACTAAATGCCTGATCTCCTCAGGATTATCTCATCACACACCTCATCCATGCTGACAAACTGTGGCTAAACAGCATGATAAACAGCAGCACATACATTTGAAGACCATGAGGACAACACTTCAGTTTCAACAGCAACTAGCAACTTAGCCTACAAAAAGCTGTAAACATATAAGCCAAAGCATTTCTCTACAGATCCATAAAGGAAAGAGACCCCGCAATATAACACAGTCAGTTCCTAACATGACACCAGCCTGGCAAGTGCTAGGGAACATGCTTCAATGTATCTTGAGTTTCAGCACAGGTATTAGAAGTTACAACCCAGCCTTGATAGTCAGGTTGTTGCAAAAGGAGAAAGAAAAAAATCTTTAAAAAGGCTGTAAGAAGAGCAGGTGGGAAGTTGGGAAGTTTTCCTGCCTTAATCCAAAGACCACAGGCTAGGAAGCATAAATAATCATTAATACAGACATAGGGGGAGAAAAAGTTAAAAAAAAAAAAAAAATTTAAAAAAAGCAGAAGACCAATGTTTTAAAATTCAGAACAATCTTTAAGAACTAGCAATATATTGCAACAAAAACAACCTGCCATTTTTTAAGTACTTGGTAATGTATAGCTACACATAAACAAACAGCACAAGATAATCTTCCAGAGAAAGGAATCCATCATTATTGACAAATCAGTGTTACGCCACACCTCCTTAAAATATTTGAATATAGATTGTTTATGTTTTTGAAGCTTCATCAATCCATAAATCCCAAGGAAAGAGTAAAGGGGTGAAAAAGGAACATTTAGCAGTTATACTAATAAAAACTAGAAACAAAGAATATGATGGGAAATTGTAGCAAGATGAAAATTTGACTTAAAATTATAGCATTATTTCATTTCTTTGGTTTTTAAAGAGCGTGTGAGTTTAAATGAGTCACCATACTGAGGAATGAGACATGTTGGACCAAATTAAATTAGTCTTTGAATAAAGCAACACAAAATAGCTACCTGCGGTAATCTCAAGTAGAGTCACACACATATAAGCAGAAGAAAAAAAATAAAAGCTTCAATGGAAAGTTTGCCCAAGAATAAATACTTTTTTGGATGAAAAAAGAAGACATAAATGCACTTTTAAATTTACTCAGATATGTTTCTGTATCATTTGGTTTAACCTTAAACATCAAATATACTTGGCACACAATTTAAAGGATGTTTTCTTTTACTGTTAATTTTATAAATTCTAAGTGATATCCCAACATTTATGCCAGATTCTTTCTAAACTGGCCACTAAAATTTAAAAGTCACCTTCAGAAGCCAGCTTTACTGGCTTTTAATTAAATATAGTGCTTCATTTCTGGGTTTTTTTTAGAACATAAGCTACTTAGAAAGAAACACGGAACTCCACTATGAATTTTTAGGACTAACATTTTCCTGGATAGAACCATCTTTACAGAACTCAGAAGGTATAATTGCTACTGGATGTTTTAAAATTAAAATCCTATTTAGACAGAAAAAAAAAAAAAAAAAAAAAAAAAAAAAAAAAAAAAAAAAAACACAACAACCCACGTTTTCTGTCCAGTACATCAAGTACCAGCATATCATCAAACATAATAGCTAGCTGTTACTGTCACACAAAATAGTTTTACAAGTAACTTAATCTGTTTTTCTCAGTTTCCCTACTTTAGAAAAGAAAATTACTTACAGATTCTGAACATTTACACTTTTTTAAAATTCATAGCACTGTTTAAGAACCAACTATTTTTAAAAGTTTCACTTGCTTTCTTAAAATGATCTTAGATTTGCAGTTTCCAACTCCACTAAGCTTTCATAGTGTTCTGTGCATTAAATATCATTTTCATAGTTTATCATAATTGTTATAATTACCTTTATCGCTTCCATAATAATAGAAGACAGTCTTACTGATAACACACCAACGCTTCTGCCATTCAAAGCCAAAAAAACTGTGGTCTGCAATTAACATAATTTGGGTTATATCACTATATGACATTATTGAACACAAACATTCTTTTGTTACTTCTTTTCAAGGGTGGGTTAAGAGGGAGGAGCAGACAGGAAAGGCGCTAAGGAAAGGAAACAAAATCTGGGTATGAAGAAGAGAAATGCATGGCACAGAGAAGGAAATTAGAAATAAAAATTAAGAGAAGAATAAGTAAGAGAACAAATGGGAATTTGAAATCATATAAAGAGGGAAGTCATGTGTAACATTAAATATAAGGAAATAATGAACAACTTCCTAAATATTTCCTAGAGTTATTGCAGCATTAAGTGGGTATTAAAGTGACAATATAAGATTTATTGAATCAAGGTAAATATTGACTGAATCAAAGCTGAGATCAATATTTGCCCTCTTGAAGGAAAATAAATCTTGATGCTCACTGAAACATGAAGTCAACATATGGTACTTTTACATACGTTCTTAATGTTTTCTTCAAAAATATCTGAAAGTCTCTGAATTATGGCCGACAGCGGACTTTCAGAGCATGATTTTTTTAGTCAATGAAGAAATAGGATTTTCTTTTAATGCCACAGGAGCAGTTATGTGCTGTGCTTCTTTTGCATAATAATGCTTCAACATTTCAGCTTCTGTTTATCACTCCTGTATAAAGTTATTTGTGTGTATAACCTCAAATGCTAGTTTTCACGAAGATAGTTAGCCTTACCTTTTCTGCGTTTTTCCAGGTATCCAGACTTCAGAACAAAATTAAGATCCTGAGCTGCAACAGGAGGAAAATGATTCCCTGAAAGAAAAACAAATTCTGTAAAGCAGCACTTTTCAAGAAAAATGTAGCATTTTCAAGAAAAATAATAGCATTAATAAACTTATGGATTTTACACTCAATATGCAGGAACTATTGAAAAAATATAGTTCTAAAAGACATTTTGCCAGATTACTTTAAGTACAAAGACCCTCTAACTATAAATGTCAGAGCTGCTGCTGCTGTCCTCACCACTTTAGTAAGGAAAAATATAGCTGTGTAGCAGGCCCTGCAAGTCTCAGAAGGAAAAATATGTAACTAAGCAAGCTACAGCAACTTAGAAAACATCAGTCTGTGTTTTGAACGTGGTCTGTAAAGCAAGTGGGATAATGAAAGCAGTAAGTTTTCAAATGTGCAAACAAACCCAAATATCACAATTCAAGACAATTGAATTAGAAACGTGGTTTTCAATGCCAAATTCATACAAAAACATCTTGAAACAACATACAAGGTGAGTACCCTCTATTACACTGTCTGCAAAGAAAAGAAACCAGATGAAGAAATGATAAAGGGCAATACCTGCTATTGACACATACTATCTAATTTACAATTACGACACAAAAGTACCGCCTATAGGATCTATAAGGTGATACTGGACAGACCAAAGACATTGGGCAGAAGTCTATAAAGTCATTGATTGTAATTTTAGATCTTGTAGAACATAGCTGCATCTGCAAAATGGCATGTTCCATTGTATTCTTTCCTTTTTCTCGACTGCCAATTGATAGCAAGAAGCATGGACCGACCAGATGACCCTCTCTCAACTTAAAATATAAATCTAGATGTTAAAAACTGCATCTTCCAGCCTGCATCCTTCTCCTCCTACAATAATAGAACTAAGATTTAAATGGAACTCCTAGTATTAAGAATAGGAATATGTCTAATAATTAACATGTATAAAAATGTTATACTGATTATCACACACACACCCCAAAAAAAAAAAAAAAACCAAAAAAAACCACAACCAAAACCACTCAGAACAAAAGCTATTCCTGTGCTGCTGGTTTTTCAAGCACATGTGAACATCATAGGGAAGTTCCTGCTACTTATTATCATCAAATATTCATAAGAATCACTGTGTGTAGGTGGCAAATTTACAAGGCAGCAATTAGTCATCAAAATCAATGTAATCACATTCAGTCCTACCAATACAAACATACAAATAAAGGACTGATATCAGTAAACAATCTCTTGTGCTAAAACAACACTTTAAACTATGAGGTGTGGGTTAAAGATCAATTGTCTGACCCTGAACCAAGAACACTGTCTCTGGAAGGTGATCCAAGTTCCTGGATTTTTATGTCGTCCCTTAAATTAGTTGTTTTTTTTTTTTAAATCAGTGTATACAGATGTGTTGGTTTATTGTAGTCTTAAATACAATTGTGAGAGGAAAGACAAGAAAAAGAGATAGTAACATGCAGAGAATGTTACTTTTTAAAGTATAAAAATACTCAAAAAAAGAATGTATTCCTTAAATAATACAACTGACTCTTTAGACAACAAAAGATTTTGTTGGATACCATAAGGCAATAGGTAGAATTTTATATACGTTGACATTTCCACTTCATTTTTATTCATATTGTTTTTAAAAATGAAAAGTACATTAGCTATCATTGCTGCTTCTGTGGAATTATTGCTACTGTGCTAAAAACACAAGAGCTATTTGCTCCATGTAGATGTATTGTAGAATGATGCAGCTGTTTCCCCTTCCTTGATAATACACAATCAGTGCACAATGTTAAATGAGACTTTAACACAAAGACACTCACTGGCTGGTACATGATAAGTTTAATAGTTGCTTACAAAATGATCTAATGACGATATTATGAGTGGGAGAGGTGAAAAGTTTTACAAATACACAGTGTGCTGCTTTATATTGGTCATTGGGAGGCATCAGTGTGCAACACTTACAGCTTTACCTCATCCAGTGGGGCTCATTTTAGAACAGTGCATGCCCACAGATGTACAAGACACAAAACCTAACTAAACAAACAAAATCAGCTCATTCTTAAATTTTATAATTTGAGAACTTCAACGACTATTTGGGTCTAATTTTATACATTGTGCTTTGCATCAGTTTGGGTTTTGATGAGGAAGCTTGTCGAGTAATCATTTAGTGAACAGTCAAGTCAAATGGGACATACAGTCCCAGAGAAACATATACTTTGGGGATTCCTTAATGCTGTTCTCCCTGTAGGTAGAAACTCATCTGAACTCCTTCTGAAAGTCAGAATTCCACTCTCAGTTTTGCTAATTCTGCTAAGACAAGTTGAGATAAATTTGATGATGGGATTTCCTGAAACTACACTTACTTTTCACAGGGCACTGCAAGCTCTCAAGGAAAAGGACCTGCATGAAAAAAAGAAAGGCAGCCTTCCACTGTTCTGGAGACACCATAGAAGGAAGTCCTTCTCCTACCCTCAACCTGTAAGCCAGTTTCTTTTTCTGTCTCTCAAACCAACTGAGGTAGTAACTCCACAAAACAAGGAGCAGCTGGTCAGCCCCACTGCCACTCACAGTCTCTAAGTAGCTGAAGTAGAAACAGATCACATGCATATTATCATCCTTCTGTCAGAGAAGCCTGGGAACCAAAAAATATGATGGAACTTTAGTGGAAAGGCAGGAGAAACAGACCCAGTTGTAATATCCCAAGACACATACAGCTGTACATGAAAGAAAAAGCATAAATCTGGCTAAATTCCTTCTTTCATTGCCCTGTACCTCCAGAAGGAAGGGGAGGAAGAATAAGTAGTATGAAAAGTATAAAGGAAAGAGAAAGAAACACCTCCTCGCAGATTCTCATTAACCACAGGTGTCATGCACATGTGTGGGGAAAAAGGCACAAACACGGATATACTGTATATACCCATCAAAAGGTTGCTTCCCCATTCATTTGAAATAGATTAGGTTTGGCATAAAAATCCTGAAAAGTCTCCCTAAAGCAGTGCTTTGTCATAGTAAAGAAGCATTTGTTTACATTACACTAGCAGCTGAGATCATAGACTTATTAGCTGACTACAGCATGGGATACAGAATAAGACAGTTCCTTCTACAAAGAGTCTATTTAACATAGAGAAAGACTGCCAAGAAAAAAGGTACTACTAAATTTTTTAATAAATAGAATATTGCTTCAATCATTGGTTTTTTTATGAAGAATAAAGTAAATTCAACAACTTGCTTCAAAACACATACTCCTTTAGATTTTTAGGGCTCTGAATTCCCAAATACTATAATGGAGGGAGGTGAAGTGGCCTGAATTTCAGTTTCCTCTAATTTCACTGGAGACTGTCCACTATAAGAAATGAAACGTAGAGATGCAAAGAGCTTCCAGCCTAGGAATGCAAGACAGCACCTCCTTAAACTTCTTGAGTGTCTCAGTGTTGCTCAGATACTTATGGTCAAGCTGACTACAAGGCAAGAGCAAAGTTTCTCTCCAAAAGTCAGACCAGCAGAGATCATCATGGTCTTCCTACCTGCTTCCTACACCTGTATGGTCTGTTTCCAGATACACTTCAAGGATGTTAAAAAGGCCCATAGTATTCCCTGGTTTCTCCTTTGGTACACTGTAGCTTCCGAAGGCAATTTTAAATACCAGAGTAAAGTGGCATTGTGAGTGCTCTGTGTCTTAAAGCTTTGTGAGTTTACAAGTGGAGAAAGGCACAATTGCCCCTGTGAACCCTTTCAGACATAATTTCTGCTATATCATTGCCCTGACAATGGGGCAAGCACAGAGTTTAGAATACAAAAGAAAGCCTCCTTTCCATTCTTGAGTTTCTACCTCAAAATAATGTCATGAACCTTGTTCTTTTGATGTGAAAATCAGATCAATATTATCTAATATTTGGAGAGATTATTATCTTGCATCCCTAATATACAATATAAAATGAGGGAGGTCCATCTGCTTAATGTTAAAGGCTTTCCTTCTTTTTTGACCACCCAGTCACAGATGAACCTCCAAGAATAATTTCTCTTCTTTTCCTAGTGGGAATTACTTCACTGTACACCAAACTAAAATCTGCAAGCTATGCTCCACATGCATATTCCCAGATTGATGCGTACAAAAGCCATCAAAGGCCAGGTCAAAATATTCATGAGGCCCAAAACTTCAAGTTTTATACAGTAAATTATACATATAATGCACCAGACTCTTCCTCTTGGTTCTAGACAGTGCTGTGCCAAGTGAGCAGCTGGCAGTTATTACAATGCTATTGCTGCCAGGCTGAAAATTCCTCCAGTGAAAAGAAAATGAAATGCTCTCACTCAAGCATAAAGCCAGCTTTTCTACCAGTCATGCTTTGACTTCAGAAAAACATGAACGTTACTTATGTAGGTGTATTAACGTACATGTTCCACTGCACAAAGCCAGTGCATCTTATGACTACAGAAAGATCTGACTACAGCTTACAGCATGGCTGCAATTTTTGCAACTTGGTAATAAGACATTCAAAAGTCTTAATGATGCAATTTCACACACTACTGCAATAGTGAATTTGGCCTATTACTTAAAAACAGTTTCATCAACATCACTTCACATGATACAGCATGGAATTCAATTAATATGCCTGGCATTTTGATTTTTGGAAGACCCAAATGTGTTAAAATTTCATTCTGTATATAAAATAAGTAAAGCAAAACCAGGTTGCATTCTGCACTGTGTGCCATTATGAATATTTTTTATTTCTTCAATGTGGGCTAAGGGATACATAAAGCAAGAAGTAATTAGAGGTCAATGCATTCTAAAGAGGTGCTTAGCATGCTTATGGGAAGTTAAACAGGCGAAGTGGAGATAAGTGTAATTCAGCAACAGTTAAGTAGTTGATTACAGCTTGCTCTCCTAGTAGAGGACTATGGGTTTAACTATTATAATGGTGGAGACTTC